ATTCGAACCTTGTCAACGTCATCGTGATCTATCGTTGAATTAACTGACGCGCGTGCTCCCCGCTGAACGTGCCGATGGAAAATTGTAACAATGCTCGGTTCACGCGGACCGTTCGCTATTTTCGGTGTGTTTCGCGATCGCGGAAAGATGATACGACCATAACTCGCGACAAACGAGACAGCGCGACGATAAATGCCCCATTACAGCTGGTGATAAATTAATTGCCCGCTGCGACCGCGGATTCCGGTAATCACCGTGCCTCGGCTGTTTCGTTGGTTAAACGTTTACGACACCGGCCGGTCGTTTAAACTAATGAAATTCAAAGGTAAAGCCGACCGAAACGCGAGTACGGCCGGAGTTCATCGACCAATTTAAAGGACATTAGGCCACGGCGAAGAGCGGAGCCCTGTTGGGTGGACGGCGGGGGGAGGGAGGGGGCAAGAAATTGACCGCCCGGAGGAAGCGGAGGAAGCGCAAAAAGAGACATTCTGCCGTGCAGAAAGATACTACCGATTACATGGTATCAACGGTTTAATGGTCGCTCTCACGTACGCGCGATTTCGCTAATTCGACTGTTACCGGTGGCCCCACGGAAATTCGTGTGAGCCTCGCGAGTTCGATCATTACCAATTGCCTCGGAGCGAGCCCGCGCGATCCAGTTGAACGCCTCACGACTGCTCATTTTCCAACGACTTCGCTCCTTTTTTTTCCCCTCGCGCGAACGATGCAACACGAACGTCGTTCCCCTCTAAGCGATACATTATTCGCGAACGCGGGGCCGATCGGATCTGCGAAATTAAGTGACAGAGGAATCTTCGGATTACAGCAATTAGGGGTGTTGCCCAAGTGATTCCCGGCCTCCGTGTAACCGTCTAATTTCAGCGCGCACGGTAGGATATCAGTTTGAAGTTTGAAATTCCAATTGAAATTAAGACGCGAGAGATGTCAATTGAAGTCGAATGACGGGGGATTATTCCGACTGAATAATGACGAGTAAGTAAATATAAGGATGGAGTGATAAGATGATTGTCCGGTGATCGTTTTGAAATTCGCAAATTGCCCGTTAGCTAATTGTCTCCTCGAACGACGTTGTTGCGTACGAACTAGACGCGGAATAACGATGGAACGTAACTTCCGGGCAGAAGACGATCATCCCCGGACTTAA